CGCACACACCCACACATGCGCATGCACGCGCGCACACACACCCACATATACACATGCACGCGCGCACACACACCTGCCCTGTGCTGTCGAGCCACTGCCACAAGGGATGCGTGGGCCTTGAAGGCACCAGAGAGAGAATAGGAGAACGCAGTCCCATAGATACACACACACGCGCACACACACACACACACACACACACACACACATGTACACAACACGTGCAAGTACACACGTGGCAGCTTACTACAAGAGAATCACACAAGTTCACATGTGGGCATGAACTGTATTCACAGTTGGTCATACCCCCCCCTCATACTCCTCCCTCATACTGTCTTGGGCATATGAGGGAGGAGCAGGAGAGTGAGTACGTGACTCAGACACAATGCGCTTCGACATGCTAGCACATGCACCGGTTTCGGACAGTGGCAGAACGTGACGGAGAGAGAGACAGAGAGAGAGAGAGAGAGAGAGAGAGAGAGAGAGAGAGAGAGAGAGAGAGAGAGAGAGAGAGAGAGAGAGAGAGAGAGAGAGAGAGAGAGAGAGAGAAAGAGAGAGAGAGAGAAAGAAGAGAGAGAGAGAGAGAGAGAGAGAGAAAGAGAGAAAGAGCACCAGCGTTCCAGCTCAAGCTGCAAATTTCTAGTTGCTTCTCCTGGTCACAGTAAACACAGAACAGGGCTCAGGCAGTGCCGAGGAAGTGCTTGTACTTGGTGCAGTGTCGTGAGCAGGATAAACTTCCAACATCTCTACACAGTGTAGCTCTTCAGGCGCACACGAAGACTCAGAAACCGGAATATACTTTACATGATGATTGAAAGTCCAGCAGCACAACAAAACTTCCAAGGACTGGTTTGGCACTAGCTTCCGTCTCATTGGCGTGTGCCCAGCCAGTTTTGGAAAGAAAGAGTAGACGTTCATTCCTCGTTCAACCTGCAATGAACTGGAGACAACACAAACCAACAAGACGACGATGGTTGTCATCAGCTCATGTGTTCACCACCGCAGTGCTACCATTCACTTTGCTGCTCCAAATGCACTACCAGGCTGCATGGTACTACTGTCGTGGACATGGAAATCAGGTCGCACGGATAGCGGCACCAGGGCGCTGGCCATGCAGCCGTAGCACGGTTTATCATGCGCTGCTGATGGTCGCATTGGATCAACATGTGCACTGCATGCAACGTTCTGTACGCGCTGAGGGCGCCGGCCCCGGTCAATCGTCAATTCGACTGATTTCCATGTCCGCGACAGTACGATGTGTCGATTATAGACCGTGATTTGCATTTTCCAATGATTAGGACTGGTATTATTTCTATTATTCACACTTAGAAAGAAAACAAGGGGCAAGATTTGATATGAATTATGTGGTTGTTGGCTATGTCACCATTTGAAAGAGGGTTGCAACCGTGATAGCACTGTAATATTAGTTTAAACCTACGTATTGCATGGTATACTCAACAGTTGGTGAGCAGAGAATTTCGTGCCGAATTCCGCCCCAGGTTGTGCACAGCAAACAACTTGATATATCATTAGCCCTACCCTTGTGCTATACGTACCCGTTGTGCCGATCGAGCCTGAGCCCTCTACTCGACTCCACGGTCCAATGACATTCGGTCATCATGGCCAAATTCAAGTCACTCAAGTGTTGAGAAGTGTCTACGTCGTCGCACACGGCATGTGTCGACATACAAAAATATGTATACGATAGAGAAAGAACTACTGAAGAGCAACCAACTGGTTTCAGCATTCTCCTTCAAAGGATAGGTCGGTGGCAGAGGACCAAAGCCGGACAATAGTTGGAAATTCTCAGCGTTGAATTTCTACAGGCTGTAGATACCTGGAAAAGCTCGATTTCCCGCCACGGGAAAATAAAAAGTCTTGATTCGGGGTGCTGGCGCTTCGCCTGAAGGTACAAGTCCAAGTAGCACCCAGACCCAGCCTGCCCAACAAGTAAAGAATATCTCATGAGTACGAGGGTGATACCGGCGATTATCCCATGGTACGGTACTATAGGCCTGTGTCAGCCAATCAGGAGCCTTGCTGACCAGGAAATAATAGCCAATACAATCCCGCGCGGGATGATATTCATTATTAACTGGGTTCACTTTTACCGTACCTACGGTGCACCCTGCATTGGCATGCCCCCACCCCCTCTCGATTCGATGCAATGCATCTTGCCACTGGAGTCCTTTCAATCAGAAACCCAGCGACAAAATGCACTACACAGAACCGTGAGAGGGTGGGAGCATGCCAATGCAGAGTGCACCGTCGGTACAGTAAAAGTGAACGGAGAGAACTTACCTCCGCGACAACGTCCAAAACCAGATTCCACACAAACAAACAACGAACTCCAATCACTATTCAACTCAACACTGCGACACAAAGGAGACTTCGAAGTGCATCTGTTCTCATTCACTCTTTGTAAACTCGAAAACTACACAAAGTATCACCATCCGAGTGAAAATTTCTAATTGCAAGGAGAGATACCGTAACAACACGAAAAGTACAAGACGTGAAAGTGAACCGAATATTCCATAGTGTGAAAGAAGAAGAGCTCAGCAATCCATGTGTGATGTAGATAAGATATGGATGCAAGATGCGACCTTCAATGATTATCATGACACTGTATCCAGTACGATTACCACAAGAACAATCTAAAACGTAGATGCTGCTACAAATCCAGTATGCCTATAATATAACAAGATCAACGTTCTTCTGATTGCATAGTGGCCGATAGTGATACAACGAAGAGTCTTGATACAACGAAATGCACTTTACTCACTGGTGCCAATGTCCGACGATATGTACAATGTGGTTACTGCCTGCACGGACAGTGTTCAGCAAGGATCCCAAACCGTTGAAAGTTCCACGCCAATCCAATGACAAGGAAGTCAGCACCAGCCTCCATAATGACGTGGTATCTCGCCGTGACTTGAAGTATGGCCCTTACTTTGAACCAAATGACTATGTATCATAAAAGTGCAATCTTCGTCAATTCTCTAGTCCAACTACTAAAATGTTTATATAACTTGTCTCCCGAGCTCCATCGCTCTCAAACCTTGACTGGATTGAAAAGAAAGGCAGCATCTTGTTTTTGGTATAGCTGTACCTTGGTAATTGTATTGAGAACGCAGTTGCGTCGATCCCCAAAATGCGTAGATGGACCTGGGATAAGTAGGATATTGACCTGCGTACTCGGGTGTTACCGTACCCTCATATCATCCCTCCTGCTACGCAGTCGGGATGATATTCGGGAGGTAACACCCTCGTACTTGGGTAATATCCTATACATATCAATCCCGACTGCGAAGCAGAAGGGATTGATATGAGGGTACGGTATCACCCGAGCTACGAGGGTGATAATTCTACTTATCACATATGACCCTACGAACCTAACACGTACGACCGTCATATCCTGCTTGTCACATGCTACATGTGTACATCGAGTCCATAAACATAAACATGATACTACAATTGTAGTACTACTGTGATGAAAGCAGGTAGGGGTAGGTACGCGTTTTTCGAGCTCCAGTTTTTTTCACATCGTCTCGGACAGCCCAGCCGGCATTAGGCCGGACTGGTGGCAGGCAGGTAGCAGTGGTTTCAGTGTAGCGTAGTGTAGTTGTAGCTTGGTAGCCAGGTTGCGACAAGGAGCAATCTGTCGCCATGGGCGAGCTCTCAAGCGCGGAGCAGGTAGAGGTACTCAGTAGTATTCCCGGGATCCACCACAACGTGATCAGTATGGTAGAAAATTTGGCTGCGTTCGTTAGTGAGTCAAGGGACAATGAAGCCCGACTCCGGCGGAGACTAGACGATCTCTCAAACCTTGTCATTGAGCTAAGGCAAAGAGGTAACATCATTGAAGGAGTCCGCCATTACGGCAAAGGCCAACAACGGCAAGAAAACGACCAAGAAGAGTTCAAAAGCTCATGTACGGGATGACCGCGCATCCGTGACCCCCTGTACACGTACAGACCAACTTTCTGTGAGCTCGGTTCACGAACCGACCCCACAGTCCGACAGTCCAAAGCCCCTTGCTCGAGCACGTGTACCAGAGGTGCATCGTGATGAAAGATCGGCAAACTCAAACCTGCTGCCCAGCTTTGAAGACGACAACGAGGACAGTGGACTTTGGGAGCTAGTTTGCAGCACAAAGCCCACGGGAAAGCGGAAAGTACTGTTTGTGGGGAACTTACCGAGTGACACGACTACGGAGAAACTCAGTCAGTTCGTCACCACCCGAGCAAGCTCAGCCGAAACTCAAGTCAAAATCCACGAGTGCAAGATCTTCCGGAAGGAAGCCAGATCCTCCGCACGACTCGTACTCAACTCGAAAACGGCTGCGCTGGTCAACTCCAAGGGATTCTGTCCACGACCTGTATACTCACGCCAGTGGAATTTTGAGAAGTACCAGCACCTGTCCGACAAGCAATCTCCAGACGATCAACACATGAGCGCGTCCGACCAGGAGCCAGTGATAGACATGGATGCCCTGTCTCAGATTCCCCCTCCGCCACCGCTACACCCTCTTCCAGGAAGCAACTAAGCCACAAACAAATATGTCAAGTCTATCGATCTTTCTGACCAATGCATTCGGTCTCCAGTCCAAGTTCGGTGAGCTACAACATGCCCTCCGTCAGCAGACTGTAGACATTGCCATAGTAACTGAGACAAAACTCACTGCCGAGAAAATGTCTCCAGCTGAAACACTATACCCGGATACTGCCCCGCAGTACGCAAGGACCGCACTGCACATGGAGGCGGTGTTGCTGTATGGCTAAAAGCAGGTCTGTGCTTTCGTCACCTTGACACCGCGCCATGTCATGACTTTGAAGTCATCTGGCTTCTTATTGAAACGTGTGATCATCATAAAATTGTATTCTGCGCCCTCTACCGGTCTGGGAGCTCCAGTGAGTCAGATATCAGTCTTATTGAGTATCTTGAGGAGACCTTGCTCGCTGTCCGGCACCTCGGTGACTATGTTCTGATCACGGGTGACTTCA